CTAGATTTTCAGCCAATGTGCCACAAGAATTTTTTTTTTTTTCTTGCAAAAGCATAGAGTCTTTTATTCAAGACTAACTTGGTCCTCTCTGCCTCCATTACTGGATGCGAGAGAGAGCCCGGAGTCCCAAGAGAACAAAGAATTTATAGGGCTTGGGGTCGGGGGTGGGGGGCACACTCGGACCACTGATTTGGCCAATTCCGGTTGGTTGAGTGAGGGCCGGGGGCTAGTGACGCAAGGGCAGGGTTCAGCTAGGATCTGGTTACACAAAGACAGGGGGTGATCAGCATACTTTTGGCCCTGAGTTTGTTTTCCCTTGCATTCCTATTGGCTGAGATAAGGGCAGGCTGAGTAACTGATACATTCTGTGGCTTTTTCTTGGAGGAGGGGTTAGGGACACAGTTATCAGTCCTGTTCTGTCCTTTCATTCCCCCCTTGTCTTAGAACTTCCTGCTCAATCATGAGGAGACGAACTGCATTTCTATTTTACCTTCTGTCGCTAGAGGCCTGTACTGGCCTTGCAAAACTATCAACTGGACTACCCCTATGCGCTTTTTGACAAATCAGCAGCATTAGGAGGATTACAAAGGGTCCCGGGAGGTCCGCTGTCTTCTTGAGGGTGATCTGCAGCAGGTGTGTCTGGTTAGAGGTCACCTTCCACTCAGGCTCCCTGCTGTCCTGGGCACAGAAGGAGCTGGGCTTGTGACCTGGCAGAGACAAACTATAACAAATGGTCCGGTGGAAGGGAAAGAAACCATTTTAGCTTTAACAACTTCTATTGAAATAGGATTTTTCTTCTTAAAATTTCTCTATGGCTATCAAAAAGCCAAATCAAGATTAATTTATCTACTGTATTCAATTTGGCCTGATGTTTGCATAAACACAACAAGAATGGTAACTGACTACCTTTGCTGGAATTTCATGATTGAATCTTAATGTGCCCCATAGGGCCAGGAAGCCAAGCCATCCAGCTGCCATCAGGCCTGCCTGCAGTATCTGCTGAGTTAGGTGAATCCCTCACCTGTAATAACTCCACCTGAGCCCATGCTCTAGGCTTTAAGGCCCATCTCAGTAGCCCTCCTACTCGTTGTGGCCCAGAGTGTGTGGGGGTTCCGCAGGGACGCAGAGGCATCCTTATTGCTCCCCTTCTACTCTTACCAACCGCCAGTGATGGTAGGGCATGGGCCTGACACTCCAGCGCCAGCCATCTTCAGGGCTCCCAAGCAGGATACCAGGCTTTTCCGTGCCACAAGAATTTTTTTAAAAGACTCTTCCACTCTATCTCTGTGACTGTTTAGTCAGGGGCACTGACCTCTTCTCCCTTAGATTGTCAAATAAAAAAATGACAATAGCCAACGCAGTAGTCGTCCAGTGTGAATGAATCAAAATTATACCTTTTTTGTCAGATCAGCAAAAAAATGTATTTTTTGGTGTGCCACCAAATTTTAGCAATTATTTCATGTGTGCCATGAGATGAAAAATGTAAAAATCACTGTACTAGACTATAAACCCCTTAAAAATAGGAACTTGGGCTTTTTTTTCACTCTATCTCTAGGACCCGAAAAGTGCCTAGCACATGAATGAATAAATGAATGCAAGTATCTATATATGTAGAAGCACTGAGTATTATACCTTCATTTTATTTCATAGAAACAGGCTTTATTGGACATTAAAGAAAATCTTGTTATTTGAAACAACCAAAGGAAACCTCAATCATCCAAGTTCTCATTTTGCCTTTTTATCAGAGTCAGACCTTGAAAAGGGACCAATGCCACCAGTGTGGTTCACAGGACAAAACTCTCCTAACAATGTGAATGTCACCTCAATTTTTAAAATTAATTAATTTTAAAAAGACTCTTCTATCCTCACCAGGCAACTCCTCACCTAGTTTCTGCTCAGATCTTCCTCCCTTGTTCACCAGTTCCCCACCAAGGAAATAGGAGAGGTTGTCAAGGTTCAGACTTCTAAAGATTAGCATAAGGATAAAGCCTTTCTTAACTTTCGCTTTCTGCTGGTTATTTTGAAAGGTGTATTATTAGATGTCTATAATATCTAAATACTTAATTACCTTAATTCCTCACAGATGCTTTTAACTTTTATGTCTCTGACACCATAACTTAAACCATATTTCACTTGCCAATGGAATGATAAAATGCCCATGCCCTAATTTCTATGCCATGTCTGAAAGAACAAAGCAGGAACAAGCCCTCCTCCCTTTTCAAGGACAGAGCAGAGACACACTCTCCTCCCTCTCCTCTATCTTGTCTTGCAAGGCTGGGCCCTCAGCCCAAGCCCCCGCCCCCCCGCTTTTCTGAGAGTGACTGCAAGAATGCTGGTATTGTCCTAACTCCCCCAATCACTACCTGAATGGACCAATGAAGCTCCAGAAATGCAGCTCAGGTCCTAATAAGGCTGTAGAGGAGGACGGCTCTAACCTTCAGAATGTGTTGGTCACCTCAATCTCTAACCCTTCTGACCTAAATGACCAATCTCTGTAACTCACGTCACCCCTAAAGCCCACCCAAATAACTTGCCCTATATAACCTTTGTTCTCCCGGGACACGCTCTCTCCTTTCACCGCTGCATCGGACAGAGACTGGGAGCCAAACCTGGGTTTGAATAAACGACTCTTTGCTTTTGCATCGGAAGAGGCTCCCTGGTGGTGAATTATTGGGGACCCCGAACTCTGGGCATAACATTTGGGGGCTCATCCCGGGATCCCCAATTCCCACAAGGGACCCCACTCCAGAGGGTCTGCTAACCGCGGTAAGTGTCTGTGTGTCCTCTGTTCTGTTCTGTGCGAGCTCGCTTCTGTAATCTGTGCCTGATAAGATCTAAGTGGACGCACTCGCGGCTCTCAGGCAGGAGGAGTCAGGGGACGCCTTGGCCCTCCATCTGGAGGGGTGTGAAAACCCCTCACGAGGGGAGTGCATTCCCCTCAAACCTCTGAACCTCTGGGACAAGGCGAGTCGCTCCTGCTGATTGGCGAACGGCCATCGTCCAGTTTTTTTTCCGCAGGGTCGGAAGGCTGTTCTTAGTTATCTTTGTTTGTCTGTTGTCTGTGTTCTTTTGTCTAATTTTGTGGACTCACTGGACGGACGTTATGGGACAGACTCAAACTACTCCTTTGAGCATCATGGTTGATCATTTTAAAGAGGTTAAGGGAAGGGCTACTAACCTTAGTGTGGAGGTGAGGAAGGGTCGATGGCAGACTTTCTGTTCCAGCGAGTGGCCAGCTCTCAATGCTGGGTGGCCTATGGAGGGGACTTTCGACCTCCCCACCATTCGCCGGGTCAGAGAAATTGTTTCTCGGCCAAAGGGGGGTCATCCAGATCAGCTCCCTTACATTGTTACTTGGCAGGATCTCGTGGAGGACCCTCCCTCCTGGCTCAAGCCCTTCCTGGCTCCACGCCCACCGGAGCCGGCACCCATTCTTGCCTTGCAGGAAACGGAGAAGAAGAAAAAGGAGGAGAAAAAGACCACCCTGCCATCGGCTCCGGCTCCCCTCTACCCGGTTTTGCAGGGGGGTAACGAAGAAGAGCTAATTTTTCCTCCCCCGTATCGGCTCCCCAGGTTGCCGGAGAGATTGGATCCTGCCCCGTCGCGGGAAGCTGATGCAGTTCCGGTTCCGGCCGGGAGCGGGGTTCCGGGTGTGGCCGGGAATGCAGTTCCGGTTCCGGCCGGGAGCGGGGTTCCGGTTCCGGGAATGGCCGCGATTCCGATGGGAGGTCCGCCCCTCACCCGGCTGAGGGCTCAGAGGGAGCTGTCCGTTGCCGCACCCGATTCTACTATCAAGACCCTGCCCTTACGGGCCGCTGGACCCCCAGATGTGCCCCTCACCCGGCTGAGGGCTCAGAGGGAGCTGTCCGTTGCCGCACCCGATTCTACTATCAAGACCCTGCCCTTACGGGCCGCCGGACCCCCAGATGTGGATGGCAATCAACCTTATCTTTACTGGCCTTTCGCTACAAATGATTTGTACAACTGGAAGGCACAGAACCCTAAGTTCTCCGAGAAGCCAGGGGGACTTATTGACTTGCTAGATTCTGTTCTTTTCACCCATCAGCCCACATGGGATGACTGTCAGCAGCTTTTACAGGTCCTGTTCACAACGGAGGAGAGAGAGAGAATCCTCAATGAAGCCCGGAAAGTGGTTCCCGGTGTAGATGGAAATCCAACCACCAACCAGGCACAGATAGATGTCTCTTTCCCCTTAACTAAGCCTAACTGGGACTTCAACACGGCAGAAGGTAAGGAGAGGCTCCGAATCTACCGCCAGACTCTGATCAGGGGTCTCCATATGGCTGCTAGGAAGCCTACCAATTTAACCAAGGTAGGGAATATACAGCAGGAAAGAAATGAGTCTCCAGCTGCCTTTCTGGAGCGGATCATGGAGGCATATCGCACCTATACCCCCATGGATCCAGAAGCTCCAGAAAATAAGGCAGCTGTGGTCATGAGTTTTATAAACCAGTCAGCCATAGACATTAGAAAGAAACTGCAGCGGATAGATAGATTAGGGGAAAAGAGTTTTCGGGACTTGCTGGAGGTGGCTGAAAAGGTGTATAATAATCGAGAATCTCCTGAGGATAGGCAAGCCCGCGCCATGGTGACTGCCAGTGACAAGCAAACCCGAAACCTGGCCAAGATTCTGCTAGCCACCACCATGGAGTCCCCAGAGGACCGGACCCGCCGCCTTCGCCAGCTTGCTGATGACCAAGAAGAAGGTAAGGGGACCGCCCGGGGCGGGAAGAAGAAGCTGCAACGGAACCAGTGTGCCTACTGCAAAGAAATAGGACACTGGGTCCGGGACTGCCCAAAGAAGGCCGGTAAAAAGGGAAACAAAACGGACCGGGTGGAGGTCTTGGAGCTGGGAGGACTGAGTGATTAGGGGGGTCGGGGTTCGGACCCCCTCCCCGAGCCCAGGGTAACTCTTAGAGTGGAGGGGACCCCTGTTAACTTCCTTGTCGACACTGGAGCACAACACTCAGTCCTACGCACACCTCAAGGGAAGCTAGCCAGCAAAAAGTCCTGGGTGCAAGGGGCAACTGGCATAAGCCAGTATTCATGGACTACCCGAAGAACAGTAGATCTAGGAACGGGCCGGGTATCCCATTCCTTCATGGTAATACCGGAGTGCCCCTACCCCCTTTTAGGACGGGACTTGCTAACCAAGATTGGAGCTCAAATAACTTTCAGACAAGGGGGGCCCCAGGTCACCGATGGCAAAGGCCATCCCATCCAGGTTCTGACTCTGCGACTGGAGGATGAATATCGCCTCCACCAGGGGGCGCCCCCAGGGGAGAACAATATGGACAAATGGCTACAAGAATTCCCCACTGCCTGGGCAGAGACAGGAGGAGTAGGACTGGCTGCTCACAGGGCCCCAACCCTGGTAGAGTTGAAACCAGGGGAAGGTCCCATCAGAGTTAAGCAGTACCCTATGTCCCAGGAGGCTCGGAAAGGGATTCAGCCTCATATCCGAAGACTACGAAGCCTAGGGATACTGGTTCCATGCCAATCTGCCTGGAACACCCCCCTCCTGCCAGTCAGAAAGCCCCACACGAATGATTACCGACCAGTCCAGGACCTCCGGGAAGTAAATAAAAGAGTTATGGATATACACCCAACCGTCCCCAACCCGTACACTCTCCTAAGCTCTTTGGCACCCTCTAGAGTCTGGTACACTGTATTGGATTTGAAGGATGCTTTTTTCAGCCTGCCGCTCGCGCCTCAAAGCCAACCCCTGTTCGCCTTTGAATGGCACGATCCAGAGGAAGGCTACAGTGGACAATTAGCCTGGACACGATTACCCCAAGGGTTCAAGAATTCGCCCACCATCTTCGACGAGGCGCTACATGAGGACCTCGGTGAGTACAGGAGAGAGCACCCCAGTCTCACCCTCCTCCAGTATGTAGATGACATCTTGATTGCTGCAGACACTGCCAAGGACTGTGAACAGGGGACCAAAGACTTGTTGGCCACCCTAGGGACCTTAGGGTACCGGGCCTCTGCGAAGAAAGCTCAGATATGCCAAGAGAGGGTGAGTTACCTGGGGTACATACTTGAGGGTGGACAGCGGCGGTTGTCAGACGCTAGAAAAGAAACAGTCCTGAAAATCCCCATTCCCACCACCCGGAGGGAAGTAAGGGAATTCCTAGGATTGGCTGGCTATTGCCGCCTCTGGATCCCAAGTTTTGCTGAGATCGCCAGACCCCTATATGAAGCAACCAAGGAGGGAAAGGCCTTTGAATGGACTGAGACAGAGGAAATTGCCTTTAATCAGATAAAGAAGGCCCTTCTGGCTGCTCCGGCTCTGGGCCTGCCGGACATCATGAAACCCTTTCGCCTCTTTGTAGACGAGTGAAAGGGAATAGCAAAAGGGGTTTTAACCCAGGCTTTAGGGCCCTGGAGCCGCCCGGTAGCGTATTTGTCTAAAAAACTGGACCCCGTAGCCGCCGGCTGGCCCCCGTGCCTAAGAAGCATTGCAGCAACCGCGCTTTTAGTCAAGGATGCCGACAAATTGACCCTGGGACAGGAAATCTGGATAACAACCCCACATGCCATTGAGGGAGTCCTAAAACAGCCTCCCGACCGATGGATGAGTAATGCTCGCATGACCCACTATCAAAGCCTGATGCTCAACCCCCCTAGAGTACGGTTCCATCCCAGCATGGCTCTCAACCCTGCTACCCTGCTGCCTGACCCCGACCTAGATGCCCCACTGCATGACTGTGCAGGGATCCTAGAGCAGGTACATGGACTTCGGAAGGACTTGACCGATCGGCCCCTCCCTGACGCAGAGGCCACCTGGTTCACGGATGGGAGCAGCTTCGTGCGGGACGGATGCAGGTATGCGGGTGCAGCAGTGGTTACTGACACGGACACTGTGTGGGCAGAAGCACTGCCCCCTGGGACATCAGCCCAGCGAGCAGAACTCATTGCTCTCACTTAGGCACTGACACTGGGGGCGGGGAAGCGGCTTAACATTTACACAGACAGCCGTTATGCATTTGCTACGGCTCATGTCCACGGGGCGATTTACCAGGAAAGAGGGCTATTGACAGCAGAGGGACGGACAGTAAAAAACAAACAGGAAATTCTAGACCTGCTTGCTGCCCTATGGCTTCCTGCGAAGTTAGCCATTGTCCACTGTCAAGGGCACCAGAAGGCAGATGATCCAGTAGCAAGAGGCAACCAAAAGGCTGATCAGGCAGCCAAGGCAGCGGCCTTCACCTCAGTCCCCGTCCCCGCCATGGCCTTACAACTACCAGACCCCGGGGACCCAGTTCTACCAGACCAGCCTAGGTACTCTCAGGAAGAGCTGCAGCAGATCAGAAAGCTTCCCCTCACCAAGGAAATAAAGGGATGGTGGTATACCTCGGATGAGAAACTCATACTACCGGACTGGCTTGGGGTCACAGTGTTAGAACGCATGCATCGGTCCACCCACTTGGGAGCCCGGAAGTTAAAGGACTTAATTCAGCATGCCAAGATCAAGATTCACCAACAAGACTCCAAAATCAATCAGATTATAGCCTCCTGAAAAACCTGCCAACTCACAAACGCAAGAGCTGGATCAGGTGGACAAGGAACCAGGCTCAGAGGCACCAAACCAGGAGCACACTGGGAGGTCGACTTCACTGAAGTCAAACCAGGAAAGTATAGTTATAAATATCTTTTAGTATTCATAGACACCTTCTCTGGCTGGGTAGAGGCGTACCCAACCAAGCATGAAACAGCCCAGACGGTGGCCAAGAAACTACTGGAAAACATCTTACCCAGGTATGGTTTTCCTGCTCTGATAGGATCTGACAACGGACCAGCCTTTATTTCGCAAGTAACACAGGCAGTAGCCAAGGTCATAGGGGCGGATTGGAAATTACATTGTGCTTATAGACCCCAGAGTTCAGGGCAGGTAGAAAGAATGAATAAAACTCTAAAAGAGACCCTTACCAAATTAACTATGGAGACTGGCGGGGATTGGGTGGCTCTCCTTCCGTATGCCCTTTACCGGGTGAGGAACTCCCCTTACACTCTGGGTCTCACCCCTTACGAGATCATGTTTGGTAGGCCCCCTCCTATCATCCCTAACCTAAAAGCTGAACTTCTTGTTAAGTTTGAAAATCAGGAGGTATCTTTTTTCCTAAGAGAACTGCAGAGGGCGCACGAGGACATTTGGCCGCGCCTCCGCGCTGTCTACGAGGCTGGCCCCACCCCAACGCCTCATCAGTACCAGCCAGGAGACTGGGTGTTCGTCAGAAGGCACAGACGAGAGACCCTCGAACCACGCTGGAAGGGCCCCTATATCGTCGTACTGACTACACCCACCGCTCTCAAGATAGACGGCATCGCGACTTGGATCCACCACTCCCACGCTCGCCCAGCCGACCCCTCTGCAATCCAGGAAGACTTCATCACACGATGGAGCATCGACCAAGACCAGCGCAACCCGCTCAAGCTCAAGCTGCGGCGCACTCGACCTGCCTGATGTTGGTAACCTTGCTTGTGATCACTCCTGCCACTGGGAGCCCACATACTCCTTATAATATCACCTGGCAGATCATAGACACTAGCTCAGGGGTGATCCTTAATCAGACTTCTCAGGTCCATCCCAAAGACACCTGGTTCCCTGAACTGCGGGTAGACCTCCTAACTCTCTTTCCCAACCCACGCGATACCAGTGATTACTGCCTGGGTGCTGCAATACGCCAGGCTTCTGATGACTCAAAACCAAGAAGAACCCTCTATTTTTATGTCTGCCCCGGGCACTCACGGGCTCGGTCCCGGGGAAACGACCCTTGTGGAAGTGCTGGGGACTATTTCTGTGCCTCCTGGTCATGTGTGTCAACCGGACACATTTGGTGGAAGGCCCCAAAGAAGGGTGACCTAATCACTGTCGGACGGCCGGCTGCTCCACCTTGTCCCCGGAGTGGCCGTGTCTACTGCAACCCCGTGAACATTTCCTTCACCGAAGAAGGGAGAAAGGCTGCAGGGTGGGACACCGGAAAGACTTGGGGATTCCGAATCTATTCCTGCAGGGGGGCTTTGCGTAGTGCGGACCCTGGGATGTTGTTCACCCTCCGGGTTCAAAACACCCCCCTTCACTATCATTCCCCTGTGGGAGTGGGGCCCAACAAAGTACTAGCTCCTCGACCTCAGCTGACCACACCTCGGGTATCCACAATTGGAGGAGCATGGGCCCCGGCTTCACCGCCCAATACCCCACTCGCACCTACCATGGAAAACCTAACTCTGAATCATACCCCCCTGCCTGAAGTAGACCCTCTTATAAGCATGGTTATAGGAGCCTATTATGTTTTAAATGCCTCCAGGCCCGACCTGACCAGATCTTGCTGGCTCTGTCTAGACGTTGAGCCACCATATTATGAGGGTGTCGCGGTTAAGGGCAACTATACAACAGCCACAATTGTCAGGTCCTGTAGGTGGCAGCAAGCTGTTGCAAGACTAACCCTCCAGGCAGTGATGGGGCAAGGGACTTGCGTAGGCAATGTACCCCCTGAGCAGTTACATCTCTGCAACGAAACTCTGACTATCCCTGAAGAGGCAGTATATCTTTTACCTCCTAAGAATGCATGGTGGGCCTGCTCCAGTGGCCTCGCTCCTTGTGTCCACTCCCTGGTTCTTAATTCCCAGAAGGAAGGCTTTTGCGTGCTCGTGCAGTTAATTCCCAAGTTAATATACCATTCAGAGAAAGAAGTCCTTGACAAATTCGGCGCTGCCAATCCCCGAAGTAAAAGAGAGCCCATCACTGCTCTAACTATGGCAGCTCTCCTGGGATTAGGACTAGCGGGAGCAGGGACTGGAATATCCTCACTTGTCATACAGGACAAGAATTATGGAGCCCTAAGAGCAGCCATTGACTTAGACATAGAAAGAATTGAAAAATCTATTACCCATTTACAGGAATCTCTCACCTCCTTATCTGAAGTAGTGCTCCAAAACAGAAGAGGACTAGACTTGCTATTCCTGCAGCAGGGGGGCTTATGTGCAGCTTTGGGAGAGGAATGTTGCTTTTATGTTGACCACTCAGGTGTTGTTAAAGAGTCTATGGCCCTCATAAGGGAAGGATTGCAGAAGCGGAAGCTGGAAAAAGAGCAATCTCAGTCCTGGTATGAATCATTGTTCAACTGGTCCCCATGGTTAACTACTCTCATTTCTGCCCTTGTCGGGCCCCTTGTAATCCTCCTAATGTTGCTAACTTTTGGCCCCTGCATTATTAACAAGCTAATTCAATTTGTCAAGGAACGCATAGGGGTAGTTCAATTAATGGTCTTACAAGCTCAATACCGGCCTCTAGCGACGGAGGGCGAGGTAGAAATGCAGTCCGTCTCATGATTGAGCCGTGAGTTCCAAGACAAGGGGGGAATGAAAGAACAAAGCAGGAACAAGCCCTCCTCCCTTTTCAAGGACAGAGCAGAGACACACTCTCCTCCCTCTCCTCTATCTTGTCTTGCAAGGCTGGGCCCTCAGCCCAAGCCCCCCCCCCCCCCCCGCTTTTCTGAGAGTGACTGCAAGAATGCTGGTATTGTCCTAACTCCCCCAATCACTACCTGAATGGACCAATGAAGCTCCAGAAATGCAGCTCAGGTCCTAATAAGGCTGTAGAGGAGGACGGCTCTAACCTTCAGAATGTGTTGGTCACCTCAATCTCTAACCCTTCTGACCTAAATGACCAATCTCTGTAACTCACGTCACCCCTAAAGCCCACCCAAATAACTTGCCCTATATAACCTTTGTTCTCCCGGGACACGCTCTCTCGTCTCACCGCTGCGTCGGACAGAGACCGGGAGCCAAACCTGGGTTTGAATAAACGACTCTTTGCTTTTGCATCGGAAGAGGCTCCCTGGTGGTGAATTATTGGGGACCCCGAACTCTGGGCATAACAGAGGCTCATGCTCTTCAGCCAGGGATGCCCACGGAGCCCAAGGCCTGAGACCAGAGCAGCTTTCCCCGAAATCTCCAGTGAAGGGGCCCAGGTGCACACTCCCAGCTCCACTGCAGGAAGCACTGAACTCAGGGTAACAGGCCCGCATTTGCAGGGCTTACAGAACGCCTGCGGATGCCTCGCTACACCCTTCCGCTGGATCCCGTTTTATTACTATGATGATGATGATTATTTAGATAAAGGAACCTAAACTCAGGAGGGGGAAGGGACTTACTTAAGGTTCCTGACAATACCGGTGGAAGCTCGAGGTCAAACCCAAATTTAATGATGTTTAAGCCCCATGTCATTTTATGCTGCCCCTTAATTTAAGACATTGTTCACAGGAAGAATCTTGCTTGCATTTACTATGATGTGGTTTAAGATATGTGTGCTTGACCAAATTTCTCATGAGTTATAACCCAAAGGATGCTTTATCATCACTCCCAAACTGCCTATTCAGAACTCCCTTCAGTTCCCAGAAAAATGTCTAAGCATTCTTTAATGCATTGTCGAAACATTATTCCGTTTAAGTGCTGTCCAATTTGACCTTCACAGAGCCCCAGAAGTATAGTAAATTACCAGGCATGTGCCTCAAATCAACCATCCTTCTTTTTTTCATGGACCATTATATTTTTATTATTATTAGCCATGACTTTTTAAAAAAATCTTTATTGTTGAAATTATTACATATATCCTCCTTTCCCCCTATTGATCTCTTCCAGTCCTTCCCCACCCCCCACCCCAGGCCTTTACCACACTATTGTCTCTGTCCATGGACTATGCATATATGCATGCAAGTTCTTTGGTTGATGTCTTCCCACTCACCCAATCTCTCATGGACCATTTTCATTCCTCTGAATGTATGAGTGAGGCTTAGATTTCCCAGACTTTTCACGTTATAATTATGTCTTCATAAGCTTCTCTGATTGACTTCAACATTTGGCTTTTTACTGACCTTGCTGCCTATTCTTACCCATATTCCTTTCCTCACTGACTTCACCTCTACTGAATCTGAGAACTCTCCTCAGATGTGACTCAGGTAGACCACCTTTACTTGTGTACCCTGCTCACCACCTTCTTCAGTGCTGTCGCTGAAAAGATGATCGGCAGACATTAATTTTCAGACGCCGATCTACCTCGTTCAAGCCTGTAGCCATTTCACACAGCCACTCAGGTGTTACAGGTACTGGAAAGATCAGGAAACAATTCCTTGGTATCTATTATAATACATTTCTTCCCCTCTCAATTGGACATTAAGACCAATTCATTGCATAAGCTTTAGGTTTTGAGATTTTCATAGCATAAAGCCCACACTGACAGAGTAATGAAGGAAATGTTCCACATGTTAATTGTTATGCCCAGAGTTCGGGGTCCCCAATAATCCACCACCAGGGAGCCTTTTCCGATGCAAAAGCAAAGGGTCTTTTATTCAAGCCCGGGACTTGGTCCCCCTCCTGCCTCCATTACTGGATGCAAGAGAGAGCCCCGAGTTCCAAGAGAACAAAGAATTTATAGGGCTAGGGGTTGGGGGGTGGGGGCACACTTTGACCACTGATTTGGTCGATTCCGGTTGGTTGAGTGAGGGCTGGGGGCTAGTGACGCAAGGGCAGGGTGCAGCTAGGGTCTGGTTACACAGAGACAGGAGGTGGCTAGCATACTTTTGGCCTTGGGCTAGTTTCCTTGCGTTCCTATTGGCTGAGATAAGGGCTGACTGAGCAACTGATACATTCTATGGCTTTTGCTTGAAGAGGAGTTAGGAATACGGTTATCAGCCCCGTTCTGTCCTTTCATTAATATATAGTTGAGAAAAGAGGGCATTGTAGTAGATTTTTGTAATTCAGGGCCTTATTAGTGAGTATGTGTACCTTTATATTTTGGCAGGTACACATGGTTAAACTTTATAAATTCAGAAAGTGAATAATGTCTTACAATCAAGGAAAGCCCTAAGACATCCGAGAGATTGTTTTTTTTCAGTATCATGAAGGAAAATGGTTGCCAGCAAGCAGTGTGGCCAGGTTACACAAGGTGACAACTGTCTCTGCTCCCCAGGGACCAGCTTCGGAAGCTTCCTTGTTGTCCAGAGCTGCTTCACTGATTCACTGTACAGGCTGGCCTTGCCTGCAGCAGTCAGCATTTAAAAATTTGTCTTCAGCCCTGCTTGTCAGCAGGCAGCTTCAGTTGGAGAAAGTAATTTCATTTTCATATTTGCTCATTTCATTCATTCACTCAATCAACAGACCATCAATCTCCTATCATATACCAAGAACTGTGTTTGGTTCTGGAGATGAAAAAATAAGATAATGGTTCCTTCTAGCACTTGAAGAGCTTACAAACTAGTGATAGAGGAAGATGTACCAATAACTCAATAAAAATAATGCTTTGACTTTATTTGTATTATTGGAATTTTATAAATCCATTCATATACACAAAGTGCTCACATAACCATGCTGGTAATGTTCTGCAACTTTTAAGTGAAATGATGTAAAACAAAACCAATTTTACCATATAGATTAATTAATAAGATAAGAGTTAAGTTCCTGTGG